AGCTGCCACTTCCTGCAAGTCATTTTGATTTATTGCCAATGATTTTCCAAGTTATTGAACAGATTATATGGGCGTTTTGTTTCTTCAACAGAGAGAGAGAGTGGCGATAGTGCCAAACAATTTGTTTATATTTTGCCTGTGAGCAAACGAGAGAGAGAGAGAGAGAGAGAGGAAGAAGAGTGAGAATGAGTCTCTTAACTGCTAGACATATCGCACTCTCCATAACTTATGAGTCGGTCGTTTGTTTTTTTCAACACGCCATTAAATGCAGTAGCTAAAGTCTAAAGCTTAAATTGAAAATTTGCTCGTTTCTGGTTTAGCAAGTTTTCCAACTGAAATGACAATGGCATGAGTATGGCCTGAAGTTCAGATGCCAAAGTGAATATGCACCTACCCAACAGGAGACTGAGAGAGGTTGTTGCTTATTAAAAATTGTGTGCAGACCGAGTCAAATTCTGTAGCCAGCAAATCTTCGGCAACAATGGAGCCCAGCCGGCAGACAAGCAGTGCAGATTGAATATAATATAATATATATAAGTAGAAAATAACTATAAATATCATATTGCAAGAAATGACCAACGGACAGACGGGACGCAGGAACAGGAATCCGGCAACAAGCAAAGTCACAGTCAGTGCCTGATAATAATGCTGATAACAAGAACCAAACAAATGGGAGAGTTGTGAGTTGGGCAAGTAAACGGACAAAAGATACCCTGTAATTTTGGCAATCATAAGCATATGACCACAGGCTATTATTATGTCAGCTTTCAGGTACAATTTTGAGTTAAAATAATCATAAAATTCATATCAATGGCAAATGTTTTAATACTGAGAATAAAGTCATCATGAGGTTTACAATTGTTGTACAATGTGATATTTGAAGATTGACAAATATAATAAGAGTCACCTAAAAGCTTGCTTAAATATCAAAAATATATTTTTAAAATTATATTTAATATAAAAAAAATATAAAAAGAAATTTGTTGACATATTTTTTTTATTATTAAAAATACTTTAAAAAAGAAAAATATAAAAATTCTTTAGTTTTATATTTTTTATACAAAAAAATATGCTATAAAATATATTTAATACACTAAAATATCTAAAAGAAATAATGAGAGTTGCCTAACTTTAGCGGAAAATCACATTAAATTCTCAACAAAGGCTCTATCATTATCAATCATGCCAGCATTAGCAGCCCCTACAGGGTATTTAGCAGCTTGGTTGCATTTTGTATGGTCTTGTCGTTGTGGCATCCCTATCTTTCAAACTCTATGCAACCATATAATTGAATTCTAACCCGACGCGCCATCTCCAGGGTAATAAGAGGCAGCAGCAGCAGCGGCGGCAACAGTAGCAGACGGTCAAACCCTACCACAAACGGTAGCAAAAGCATCGCCAATAACTGCATAGTCCAAGCCAACCTTTCACCCCGCCCTACCACGCCCCCAGCTACTGCTGCATTGCAATCGCAGCTACCGAAAAAAAAAACTATATATAATAGAAAATTGTGTGTGTGCTAGCTTTTCAGTGGCGAAAAATTCAATCAGAATTTATTGTTGCCGTCAATGCTGATGACCGGGGCAAAGCGGCTTAAGATTTGCTATTCTATAAATCATCATCGAGCGGGCGCAACCACAACAAAGTGACAAAGTTGACCAGTTTTTTTCTTGATGTGCAAAATTTACGGATATCTAGGAAAATTATTAGCATGCCCAGTGTGAAATATTTAACTGGAAAATGCCATGCTGCGAGCGGAAATTGAAAATCGCTCTGCGAACTGGCTTTCACGCACAGCACGCATACGCAACGTTAAACAGTTCAATTATTTCAAATACCCTGGTTGCATATAGATGGATATGGATAGATAGTATAAAATGGATGGCAATGTAGATAACAAGTAAAAGTTAATTAGCTTAGCTAAGTGTTAAATTATAATTTGTAATCAAAATGAAATTAGATTTTTGAATATATAACAAGAAAAAAAATTGTTTTAATTAGTTTTTGTTGGGGCAACCTAATAAAATAAATAAAATATATTTATGTAAATATGTATATATATTATATTTGTGTAAATATATATATATTATATAGATAAGAATTTTGTCTAAAAAAACATAATTTATAATTTATTTTATCAAACGTTAAATTCTTTTAAAAAATGATATAAAAAAAGTTTTTTCCTATAACTAAATTTGATGATATTTATTATTTATTTATTCACTTTTAATGCTGTTAATATATTATAAATGTATTGTGCAAACGAAAATTACATTTAAGAGTTAGAAAAATGAATTATTTAATCGAATTACTCCTATAGCTTTTATGTAAAATACAAATTAAATAAAAATTAATTTTACAGGGTATTTATAAGTCGTTACATAATACTAGCAATTAAAAGTGATTAAAATTGCTGGGCAATATTTAATATTTGACAATTGTTAGTGAATGTCACGCGACAGCCAATACCGCAATTGAAATTGACAATTTGATATAAAAGCAGTTTCCAACCGAAAAACAAATTTTTTAAAAATAGCTTAAAGTCAAAAAAATTTACAATAATTATGTAAAGATCAATTATGAGAAATTTGAAGCTTCTGAAACGATTTGAATGCAATAGCTAAGAAAATGAAGCTGAGAACTGAGTCAAAGCTTAAGCTAACAGGTGAGAGAAGTTGTGTTCGCATTTGAGCGAAAATATAAACAAAATCGGGTAAATTTCCATCAAATTGAGTGAGTATGTTGGAAAAAGTCAAAAGACTGCAAATTGCTACTGATTACTCAAGACACTTTAACCTGCGCACTCAAAGTACTTCGCGTCTGATTGATAACCAACAGGCGAACAGACAAAAGGCAAAAGGCATTGGCATGCTATAAATTCGTTTGCCATTTGCTGGCGTACCAAAAGGGGTTTCTTTTTGTTATAAGGATTTAAAAAAGCCAATGCCGTCTGAGCTGCTCATTGCGACTGGCTGGCTGACTGGCTGGAGGGCGCATCACCAAGACAACAGACAGCAAAGATTTTAACATACTCAATAGCTCAAATATCAGGCACAATAAATGGCAATCAGCCTGGATAACGGCACTAAATGCAGACATTACGACAGACAGGTTTTGAAGAGGTGAATGAACGCATTACACATAACCATTGCTCAGGCAGGCGATATTTTTAGTTAGGTGTGACAGGTGAAACAAATCCTCTTTAATTGCCTTAAGCACAGCTCACCAACAGACACTAGCAACAGTTGAGAGTGAAGCACTTAGAGTGAATGAATATATATAGACGTATATGTATTTTTAAAAGTATATATATACATATTCTGCATTAAGAGATTTGAGTTCAATTTCATTTTAATCAATTTCATTAACAAAAATAATGTTTTTATTATTTATTAATATTAGTCCCAAGTCTCTTACAAGTCTTGTTTATATAGATTCGAAGATCAACGATCTAATAAAAATGGACATATAAACGGACAGTGCTAAATCAGCTTTCGAACTATACGTGATCAATTCAACTTGCTTCTAATGCAGTCAGTCAGCGAGCCCAAGACCAACTGGCCGAACGAATATGGGATTTGGCGTTTTAAATATGGCCAATACCAGAGTAGCAGCACAGTCACAGTCGCCACTTCACCATTTACTCTCATTTAAATACACCAAATTACTATAATATATATATACAAAAATTAAAAAACAAGTTCATACATAGTTAAACAAAATTATATTAATAATAAAAATAATAATAAAAAGTATTTAAAGTACTTTCATTTCTATATTTTTTTTTTGTCATAATTACAGGGTATAACATAGCACATAACACACTCAATTACACGCAGCGTGGAAAAACTGTGTCAGCTTGCAATTAAATTCAGTTAAAGTAAATTAAATTTAAGAAAAGCTGATCAACCGCAAGAGTCTCACGCCAAACACATACAGAGAGAGAGAGAAAGAGAGCGAGTGAGAGGAAAAGAGAGAAAACACACTCAAAAGAACTGCAAAAGCGAAACTACAGATCAAAACAAAATAGTTTTTCTGTTTACTTTTATTTTTCTGGTTTTATTTGCACATTTTTCTTCTCATTGGCACAGAACTCGTTTTGAGTTCCACTCACAAAAATTTATTTAAACAATTTAAGCTGAAGAAGCTTTGCGCTTTGCACTCAAAACAAGTTCGCAGCAATAAACAAACGAAATGCGCATTCAGTTGTTCGTCGACTGCGAAGCCGTTCAAAACGTTCGTTAAACGAAAAGTTTAAACAAACTAAAAATATATAAACTTTTGTGGAAAATGCTAAAGCAATTGTTTGCCTGTTTGCTAATTGCCATGTGCCTCAGTCACAGTGGTAAGTTTTTTCTTCGTATATCATAGAAAAAACAAGAGAAATGAAAGAAAAGCTTTAGTTGGAAACCGGTTTGAAATTTGTTACATAACTGTAAAGGGCAAGCAACGCAAACGAGCCAAAAAACTTTGATATTTGAAATTTATAAATTTTGAAAATATATTTGAAAATTATTTATTAAAAATAATGAAAAATAAAATAGTTACAGAAGCAAAGCTTTACAACTATGTGAAAATCGTAATATGCAAATGGTTAAAAATATAGAAATGCAAAATAAAACCAGTTTAAAGTCGAAATTGAAAGCAAAACCTGAGATGAAATTATATTCAAATCTCTAAATTGTAAACCATACAGAAAACTCGTTTGGGATCTAATCGAATTCTAATAAATAAAAAAAAAGAAATTTCCCAAAGCATATTTAGCCAAAAATTATTTAGACAAAAGTAAATACAATTTTAAATAAATATTTCAAATACAATTTAACCATATTTACATTATCAAAAGCTAAAAATAAAATGAAACAAAAAATTGTTCAAAAATAAATAGTTATTTTAAAATCTAAATGCAACATATGTTAAATTTCTTGTGAAACATTTGTCTCACATCAAATACATTTCCAATAAATATTCAGGAATTTCAATAAAACCAAAAATAATTTATAAAAATATTAAACAATAGCAAGAACAATGCCATTTTGTGCACGTATTACGAGATATATAAGACGTAGATGTTGGCTTTGCTGACTTCATAGCGAAAACAAACGCAAATAGTTATATGTTTACATATAGAGAGAGAGAGACTTCCAGTTGGAAACGCTAATTCGCAGTAGGCGTTAGATAACGAGCCAAGCGTAGCTGAGGGCGTCTCAGGTAAACTGGTTGTAACTCTGCGAATTGTATTTGTATCTCAAAAATAGAACTTCACCTTGCCTCGATGCTCTCTAATTGTTTCATCTGCATCCACAGCAACTGCCATCAAATGCTATCAATGCAAATCACTGACGGATGTGAACTGCAGCAAAGACAAACTGGATGAAATGTCGAATATACGCCAGGTGGACTGTGACAGCGTTGCAAAGCCGAGCACCATGGAGCAGCTGCAGCCTGTGACCAAGTGCAACAAGGTGGTCACTAGCGGTAAGTAAATGCATTGTCCCACTTCTAGCCACGCCTCGCCCCTCCACCTGCAACCACTTCCCACATGATTTGCATTCGCAATGAATAGACGACGGCAACGACGCCGCGCACACCTTGAGCAAACATAAAAAAAACTAATTTAATTATTATTAGTGATGTCATTGCGTAGACGCGTCAACTCGATTCGGAGGCCGATTCGACTTGATTAACATATATATAAAAAAAGAGATTCCAAAATCGCTCAAAAACGCAAATCGCTGAGCTGAAAATTCGTTTACATTTAAGTCATGCGACAAAAATAAAGCTTTGCGTGGGCTTTCGATTTGCTAACAAGTCACAAATCCCAAAAACAAATTGTTCAATACACAAAAATTCTAAAGTAAATAAAACAATTGAATGAAATTTGTTAAAATACAAAAGCAATATAAAAATCATTGAAGCATTGCTTAAAATATAGCACATGTGAGAAAAATAAAAATTTCATTTTTTTTGGAGAACAAGTAAATCGAAAATAATAATAATAATAAATATAAATAATATTGCCATATAAATCAGTTTTCATAGCAAAAAGACGATGCAGTCTTTAAATATTGCTGCACCCTAATAAAGTTTTTAATTTAGAAGTTTTAAAATCGACAAATTTCATAAGAAATATACATTTCCATACAAAAATCAATTATTCACAGTACTTAAATTTAAAATATGAATATTATACATAAATTATAGTTATTTATGCATAACACCTATAACTAAACATGACTCACAATACTCAAACAATTTATTATAATTTATGGAGACTAGAACAGGTAGATAAAACGTAATCTATTGCCATGTTTAAGCATTGAACTGTTTCTGGAAACTCATCCGGATAAGGTTAAAAAACTTGAAATCTGTTAACAACTGCAATTTAGTTGAAAGCAATATGAAACAGTTTTTAAGTAATAGAATTCCATATTAATTTACGAAATTACATATATTATATGTACATTCAAACATTAGGGGAATCATGGACAAGTTCTGACAGTTAAGTACATTCATATTAACTGTAAATTTATTTTTTACCACGTATCCTTGCATTAGAGAGCAAGTACTAGTTAAACAAAGCCATTGGTAAAGTATATCTATCACATAGGAACCACATAAAAGCAGTCTTCGAGTTTGGTCAGAAACTGTAGTAGCTTAAGAAGCTTTTTAAAGCTGTAAAAGCTCTCAACCTTTGAGCATAGTAGTAGCGAGCAGCGAGTAGCGAGTAATACAAGAGCTTGGTACAGTCAAAGGCCACTGAACAATAAGCAGTTGCCTTTAACAAGAACTGCACTTGCTGGACTTGCTATTTAGACATTATTTCCATTGAGAAAGTTTAGAGCATTAAAGTGGAAATTAGACCTGCCGCAAAGCCTTAAAAACCATAGCCATCTTCTAGCTGGTACACCTGCCTAGTAAGAAAAATTATTTGCATGGTACACACGTATAAAAAAATAACTCAAAAACTTACCAGTTTAAAGCGACTCACAACACTAGCAGCAGCAGCAGCTCTGAAAACTTCAAGAAAATTCCAAAGCGAAAACCAAAAATTAAATCAAATTCATTTTCTTTTCTCTAATTCTAGATCGCGCTGGCGTAATTGTCTCTCGCGACTGTCACTTTGAGGTGGTTGGACAGAAGGAGAACGTGTGCACAGTTACGCACAGCCGTCAGGTGGAGAGCTGCTACACCTGCAAAGGTGATCTATGCAATGCCTCGTCTGCAGAACGACTTTTGGCAATAACATCAGCAGCGCTGCTCGCATTATTCGCCATTCAAATGGCGCTGTAAGTGGGCCCAGCTTATTAAATATGATTAATAATACATTGTAACATTTTTTAAATATTATTTGTTGGTTTTTTTCTGTACAAATAAATTACAAAAATTATTTCAACTAAAAACTAACCTTATAAAATCTTGTATGCATTTGCAGCTTTGTAGGACGTTGTCTTTAAAGTCAATATCCATCCAATAGTCGTCGTAGCCATCCATTTCCAGCTTATTAACTTTAATTTATTTATAATTAAGCACAAATACAAACGAAATAGCGAAACTTTTCACACAAATTACACAGAACTCACGAATAATAACTTTTTTAGTATGGCAACACTGGCTGCTGCAAATAACGGCGCTTTTAGCGCACACTTATAGAAATAAACGCTTCAAAATACGCACACAATATGTTCTCAACAATTAAACAATAGCAAATGTACTTAACAATCGTTCATATACGTTTTTAAACTTGCAAATACATTTTTCAACACGTTTAAACATAAATTCGAAACGAGCGACGCGCACAAACACACGAAGACACGGAAAGGAAAGAATTTGCAATTCTCTCAAGGCGCCTAACAGCTCTCATGCAATGCAGCCTTTGGTGGGTCACACACGTCACAATGTCGTCGTTTGAGACAACGAGTATCGTTGAACGAGTAACGAGAACGAATTGGTATTAAGAAATATAACAAAATTGAAGGAAAATCTTTCAAATTATATCAAATTAAAATGTTTGTAGGTATAAGTGATCTTGCTTGGCATATAAGTGTAAGTTTTTCAATGAGATCATGAAAAACATTTTGGTCATACAAGTATCTAATACAAGTACTCGATACTTTATTAGGATATATAACCACTAAGTATAATATTAATTAAAGAATCAATAAGCATATGTAAGTAGGACTTTAGGACGAAATAATAAGTCAAACTACGTAACTAGTTCGTTTATATATGAACGAGCCCTATTAAGCAGATCGAGGAAAAAGTTGACTTAAGTTTAAGTATTTATTGAATATAAATATATAAATAAGTACTAGTTCGCTCATATGAGTTAAGCAATACATGGAAACAAGTCAAAAATAAACTAGGTCACTCTACACGTCACGGAATCCTTGAACAAATTAAATAAAGCTGTGAACAAGGAACTAGTTCACTCTTTATACATATGAAATTGAGTGAAGCTCATTTTTGTAAACCTTAGATTTAATTAAGGAAGTATATTACATTTTGGAGAATCACTTAAGGAAACAAAATATTTATAGATTAGGGAAACGTTAAAAATAAACAATTTAGATTTAAATGTTTTATTCGGTTGTAAAAATGTACTATTTTGTATTACAATAAAAATTTGTAAACTTTCGTCACTTAAACTAAACAAGTGTAAAAATCGGCATACAAAATAAACGAGATTGCGCTTTTATCTTAAATGATACGGAATGTGAATATATATATATATATATATATATATATATTCGATTGTAATACATATGTGTTTAGATATGTCTATGTGTACGCAAAGGCAGGACGGAAATGCGTTTCTTTTGTTAAGTTATTTCGAGTTGAAGGCACATTCAAAAATTACACAAGCAGTAATCGAGTAAAGTAGTCATTCGCTAGATGAGACGCTGCTATTGTCGCAGAAAATGCGCTACTAGGCCAACGACAAAGGTGCCAAGGAGGACGCTGATTAGGCTACTCCGTTGCAGGGCCGCTCCATTGCAGCCATCCTTGCTGTTGCAGGTGCAATACTCCATGAAGATGTTGTAGCTGCCGGTGCGCATCAAGCAAAAGCGTTCGTCGCCCTCGATGCCTGGTTCGCCCATGTAGGCGCAGCTGCGGAAGTAGCGCCACTCCCCGTGCACCTTCTGGCGGATCTTGCGGCACATAGTGGGTCGGACACCCTTCAGTTGCTCCAGTTCGCTGGCCTGATGGCAATCTGTAATCGCTAGCGTGCTGTTATCGAAGGGATCTCCGCACTTGGGATCGCTATCAGAGCGACATTCCCAGCATTTGATGGCCGAAGCTGCGATTGAGACACCACGAGACAAATTAGTTTGACTGTTTGTTTTTGTTAGTTTATTACGCATGCAATTTACCTGTGTGCAGCAGAAAGCATAGCACTGCAACGGCTAATACACACTTTTCCACTGTCTGCATTCTGAGTTGCGTTTTATTTTAAAGTTAATTAACAATTTGTAAGCATGAAATTAATGAAAACAAAATGCGAACACCGCCCTAAAAATTATGATGCGTGCATCGATAGTTGTTAGTTGTTATCGATGATTTCTGAAGCGTTGCCACTTAGACGCATTTGGTATTTTTTCTGTTATAACCACTCAATGAGATTTAAAATAAAAATAAACGTTAGTGTAAGTGTAGGAAAGCACAGTTCCCATTTTTTTTAAATGTGTAAGTATGCACATTCTTAATTATTTACTTTATCTAAGCAAAAGCAATTGTAATCAGTTATGTTATTCGAGGCTAATTCTGTTAAGCGAGATGTAGTCCGATATGCGCAATGGCCAGTCTATTGTCCGACCGCCACAAAGTTCCCAGCTGCGATTGAATTGTTTCGCATTGCTGTTAAACTCAATTTGGTTGCTTCTACATAAAATCAAACAAAATTTGAATCAGTGCATCTATGCTGTTAAAATAGATAACATTCATTTTTATTTAAATTTTTTCGAACCGGTTAAAAGTAGTGCCTACTGTTAAATAACTTTACAGAGCACTGTTAACTTATTGATGCCAGAAATCATATGGTATTTTTTTCAGTTTTTGGACGGACTCGATTTTTACAAGTTGCAACTTGCGGAGTTGCTCGAAAAAAATAACAAATTTTTGTTAGCTACATTCCGCTGCCGCGCGTGCTGTATGAACGTGTGTGAATGATAGCTCTGACTGCATTATTAACCAAATATACGATCGGTATTATGAGCAATCTAAGCAATGGCAATCTGCAGCAGAATCAACCACAACAACAACAACAACAACAGCAGCAGCAGCAGCAACAGAATAACGGTGAAGCGGGCGCGGGTGCGCCTGCGGCACCCTTGTTGATGGAGCCTGGTGGTCCAATGCCCGCACCTGGTTTGGGTGTCGCCGTAGGTGTGGCCCAGCGACAGCGCCTCCTACTGCAGCAGCAGCAACAACAGAATCCCGCCGCCGAAGGCAGTGGCCTGGAACGAGGCAGCTGCCTGCTGCGCTATGCCAGCCAAAACAGCCTCGACGAGAGCTCCCAGAAGCACATACAGCGACCGAATGGAAAGGAGCGCGGAACTGTAGGGCAGTACAGCAACGAGCAGCACACGTCGCGCTCCTTCGATGCCATGAACGAGATGCGCAAGTAAGCACAAGTCTCGATTTCGAATACTAGATACCCTGTAAAAGAGTGTAATAAGTGAGATAGGTTAAAAAGAAGGCAAATGACAGCCGTGAGGTGTGTGTAACAACATGAGTGCCCGACTATGAATACCATGTACATGCAGAACAACATACCCTGTAACTGATTTTCTTTGATTTACATCATTGCAAGACGTATCAAGACAGGAATATCAAAACTGTAGTTAAAATATAATTGTTTGGCTAACAGATACCCTGTGGGGGATAAAAAACAAAACATTTGAAATTAGTTATCGACTAGTAAAATACCCTGTAACTGAAAGAAGTTCAATTACTAAAAGCTGCTGTCTGGCATATAAAAATGAGTAACAATATATGTGTTCGACTAAGTGTTACCCTGCATATATAGCAAAATATTAAGCTCGAAAATAATATATATATTATATATTTGATAGATCCTTTATGACTTCTGTTCGTTCGCAAACCTATTAATAGTTCATACCCGTTTGACCTATATCTAAAGAAGGGTATTGGGATGAAGTGAAATTGCAATGAACATTAATTGGCTGGCAAAGAGGCAATCAGCTATTGCAGTTGTTCCGCTATTAAGAACAAGTGCGTCATAGACATAGACATACCCTGTAGGCTAGTGCAGGCTATATATAAAGAATATTTAATTAGATATACCTCGCACGATGCTAATTAACAAGTGATACATATTGCATGAATCTGCTCATTCGACCCACTTGTTATGGGCATATATTTATATTAACATGCTATAGCTCACCCGAACACCCGTTACATATTGCTTGTCATATTCAATATACCCACTTGACTCAATTTTTAATGAGTAAATGTTGTACAAATATAAATTCTACTCAAGATTTGTTTATTTTGGTCTTGGCAAAAATATGATTTTTATAATGGGCCAAAAAGTGTCGAGACGCGGTCAACAGTTGCTGTTGCCGATCTCTCGCCCAACCCAACTATTCGCGCCCTCTCTCTCTCACACACACTCGCATAATTGCGCATTACGCTTTATTTGTCTTCAACTTTAAGCAGCAATAAAGTATGAACAAACAGTGCATACTTACACGCACGCACACACACGCATACACACTTGCATGTATGTACTTGTGTGTTTGTATATTCACCTCTCGATTCTGTCGCTATATATATGTATGTATGTATGTATGAATTTGCTTTTGTCAAAAGGCCATTCGCATTAATATTCGACTTTGCTTTGATTATAATGATGAGTAGTTTTTTTGTATTTCATTTTTATTTTTGTTTTGTTTTCGCATTAGACAAATATAAATGCCCTTGAACTTGAAAATGGCCCGTTTTTAGTATTTTTTCGTGTTATTTTTTTGCTTTTTTATTTGTTCACTTCCCACTTCCGTGTGGCCAGCTGATTAGATGTCGCCTATATGGAAAAGTACCTTAATGGAAAAGTTTGTATTTTTTGACTGCCAAACTTGTTTTGGTTTCTTTTATTTAATTTATTTCATTTTTTATTTCTGTAAGCCAATGCCCTAAACGGGCTACGCACCGTGGGTCCAATGGGCTCTAAAGTTTTTTTTTTTCATTTACATTTTCAACTGTAACGAATTTTAAAAAGTACAAATTCCTAATGTTTCCAATTGTTTTACAATATAATGAAAATTGGAATGGATCAAAGAAACACTTGATTAAAAGACTTAAAGCAAAGTTGGAAAAAGATGGATATATAAAAAAATGTAAAATATTTATATACTCTAAAAAATATAAAAATATATACTCAATTTAAACAATATATTCTACTTAAAATATTTAATTTTTGAAAATATACTCTTGAACACAAGGGGAAAAAAATTAAATAAAAAAGTATCATACATAATTTTTTTGATTTAATAAAAATTTCGAATTTTTTTAAATTGTTTCTAAAAAAAATTGGAATATTTTGTTAATTATCGCACGCACCACTGTGCTAGAAAGTTAATACCGAAACGCTATAAACGTGCTGACCTTACTCAATAACATGAATATCATATGCTCCACTCTCTCACACGCAGACAAAAACAGTTATGTGATGTCATTCTGGTCGCCGATGATGTGGAGATTCATGCCCATCGCATGGTCTTGGCCTCGTGCAGTCCCTACTTCTTCGCCATGTTCACCAGCTTCGAGGAGTCGCGCAAGTCGCGCATCACGCTGCAAAGTGTGGACGCACGTGCTCTGGAGCTGCTCATCGACTATGTGTACACATCGAATGTGGAGGTCAACGAGGATAACGTGCAGGTGCTGCTAACCGCTGCCAATCTGCTGCAACTGACCGACGTGCGAGATGCCTGCTGTGATTTTCTACAGACCCAATTGGATGCCAGCAACTGTTTGGGCATACGCGAATTTGCCGATCTGCATGGCTGCGTGGAGTTGCTCAACTATGCAGAGACATATATTGAACAGCATTTCAAGTGAGTGCACAACTGGGCAAAATCAATCACTCAATCATTCACTCAAACACACATTTATGTAATTCAATATGTGATTATTAATTTGCGTGAGCGTAAAACAGACTTCCCAATGGATTATTCCTACAGCCGATAAGCTGAAAATACTTTTAGTATTTGTCATGCATAGAACTCACATAAAACAGCTCGTATAATACACAAATTTGATCTCTATTAAGTTAAGCTCAAGTGAAAGTTTCCTTACCCCAAATACGCTTAATCAGCATAAACCCTCATCTCATTAGCTCCTCACTTTAGCCCCTATATATATATGTATCACATCTTTAAGTTATGCGATAATTGAGCAAATTTGATGACACACACACCCTAACTTGTTTTTCTGTTGTTTTTCGCTTCTCTTGCAGCGAGGTCATTCAGTTTGACGAGTTTCTGAATCTTACGCACGAGCAGGTCATTAATTTGATTTCCAATGATCGCATCTCGGTGCCAAATGAGGAGCGCGTCTATGAGTGTGTCATTGGCTGGCTGCGCTACGATGTGCCCATGCGGGAGCAATTCACATCGGCATTGATGGAGCACGTGCGTCTGCCATTCCTCTCCAAGGAGTTTATCACGCAGCGCGTGTACAAAGAGCTCTTGCTCGAGGGCAACATCGAATGCAAGAATCTGATTATCGAAGCCTTGACCTATCACCTGCTGCCCACAGAAACAAAATCTGCACGCACTGTGCCGCGCAAGCCCGTGGGCATGCCCAAGATTTTGCTAGTTATCGGTGGCCAGGCACCCAAGGCCATACGCTCCGTGGAGTGGTATGATCTGCGCGAGGAGAAATGGTATCAGGCAGCCGAGATGCCAAATCGTCGTTGTCGCAGCGGTCTGTCCGTGCTAGGCGACAAGGTCTATGCCGTGGGTGGCTTCAATGGATCGCTGCGCGTGCGCACTGTGGACGTTTATGATCCGGCTACAGATCAGTGGGCCAATTGCAGCAACATGGAAGCGCGTCGCTCGACGCTCGGTGTGGCTGTTCTCAATGGCTGCATCTTTGCCGTGGGTGGCTTTGATGGCACCACCGGCTTGTCCAGCGCCGAGATGTACGACCCAAAGACTGAAGTCTGGCGTTTTATTGCCTCCATGTCGACGCGTCGCAGTTCGGTTGGCGTGGGCGTCGTCAATGGTCTGCTCTATGCCGTTGGCGGCTACGATGGCTTCTCTCGGCAGTGTCTGGCGTCCGTCGAACGCTACAATCCCGACACGGATACTTGGTGTGCCGTTGCTGAAATGTGTTCACGTCGCAGCGGCGCTGGAGTTGGCGTTCTCAATAACATCCTGTATGCTGTGGGTGGCCATGACGGGCCGATGGTGCGCAAATCGGTCGAGGCTTATGATTATGAGACAAACACCTGGCGCTCCGTGGCGGACATGTCCTATTGTCGTCGCAATGCTGGCGTTGTGGCACACGATGGTCTGCTATATGTGGTGGGCGGCGATGATGGCACCTCCAACCTGGCCTCCGTTGAGGTTTATTGCCCAGACTCGGATAGCTGGCGTATATTGCCCGCCTTAATGACCATTGGACGCAGCTATGCTGGAGTCTGTATGATAGATAAGCCCTTGTGAATGGAAGAGCAGGGCGCGTTGGCAAGGTGAGTGAGCGCTGAGTTTCACAGAGTTGAAAATATATAATAACACTATGTCATTTTCAGGCAAGCGGCCTCGCTGGCCATAGCGCTGATGGATGATGAGAATAGCCAGGCTGAGGGCAGCATGGAGGGCGCTGTCGGTGGTGCTGTTTATGGCAATATCATTGCTGCCGCTGCAGCACCACCATCACCGGCACAACAGCAGCAGCAGCAGCAGCAGCCAGCTAATCATCCGCACTATGAGAACATCTATGCGCCAATTGGACAGCCCAGCAACAACAATAACAATAACCAACAAGTTGTTGTGGCCAATGCCAATGCCAATGCCCCTGCAAATGTTGAGGAAGCAGCTCAGCAGCCACAGCAACAGCCAGCGGCATCAGCTGAAGCCAATGCCAACAATCAGCCACAAGCCCAGCAGCAACAACAACAACAGCAGCAAGCACAACCAACACCACCACAACAACAACAGCAACAAGCGCGCATGCTGCCTATGAATAATTATCGCAATGATTTATACGATCGCTCTGCATCCACAGCGGCTGCCTACGATGTTCCAAGAGCCGTTCGCTCCGGCCTGGGCTATCGTCGAAATTTTCGCATTGATATGCAAAATGGTGAGAAAGAGTTTTTTTTTCAAGGTCCAAACCATTGATAAGTAGCTTAAGAAAAATAGAAGCTTAAGACTGTATATAGAATAACATTGCTATATTGAATATATAGAAGAAGGTAGACTTAAGCAGAATAGAATGAATCTGAATTGCGATGCTTGTTTACGTCTGTCTGTTTGTAAAATGATAAACATGTTTATTGAAGAATGCAGATGAAAGCGGATAAAATGTCTGAACAATGAGATGCGAACTCTGCCTGTTTGTCTATGTGATCATCGTGCAGAGAGAATGTTAAAGAAATTAAGGTAAATTGAATTAGTTAGTATAAACAGTTTTGTTTAGAGAAACAACTATAAATATATGTGAGTATAATAGAAATTTATATAGCTATGATTAGCAGTCAGTTAGCTGTCTCATAAAACATTTACTTGACTATCTGTAGCTACTGTCTTTTTATATAGAAAGAGTCTCTAGTCTAATCAGTTAGGGATTAGATGTACTCTTATGTATCGTTATGACAATTTACTTCTCTCTGTGCCTGTGATCTTGATGCTAGCATATTGAAATATTAGATATATAATTTAAGCAGAACAATCTACTTTAACTGCAGATTACGTATAGATCATTATATTAATAGAGGCCGACAGCAGTCTGAACAAACAGCTAACACTATGATGATATCCAGGCGTCTGATTATCTGCTACATATCAGATAGATAATAGAAAATAAAAAGTTCTGCCTTTTTTTCTATGAAGTTATTTAGATGTTAGTACCTTAACCCACTAAATGTAGAAGCCAACAAGTTTTTTCTTGAGCACTCTATGCATTTCCCCAAAATTCTTAGATAATCTTATGCATTTAAAGTAATTACTATATAAAACGTAACCCGTCTTCGCGCTTTCCTATTAACGCTCTCCTGCAACTCCTTTCACAGGCAATCGTTATGGCAGCGGCCTGCGCTGTGCTCCACTCTATGCCAGCAATCGTTCAAATTGTCAGCGCCAGCGCAGCTTCGATGACACTGAATCAACAGATGGCTATAATCTACCCTATGCGGCAGCAGGCACCATGCGCTATGAGAACATATACGAGCAGATACGCGATGAGCCGCTTTATCGCACCACAGCTGCTGCGGCTGCAACACGTGTGCCGCTCTATACGCGGCTGGATGTGCTGGGCCACGGCATTGGACGCATCGAACGACATCTGAGCTCCTCCTGCGGCAACATCGACCATTACAATTTGGGCGGACACTACGCAGTGCTTGGCCACTCGCACTTTGGCACTGTCGGCCATATACGTCTGAATGCGAATGGTGGTGCAGCAGCGCCCGCTACTAATACCACCAGCTGCACTGTGCCCAACTGCCAGGGGTATGTGGGTGCTGGTGGTGTTGCTGGTGTTGGTGTTGGTGGTGCTGGTGTTTCGAGTGCGGCTGCTGCTGCTGCCGCCGCTGCAGCTGCTGCAGCAGCGAGCATGGCAGACTATGGCAATGTCAAGGTGCCCGTCAAGAATAGCGCCTCGTCCTTCTTCAGCTGCCTGCATGGCGAGAACTCACAGAGCATGACAAATATATATAAGACGACAGCTGCTGCTGTTGCTGCTGCGCACCACTGTTCGCCGCTGACACCCAATGTGTCAATGGAGCGTGCAGCGCGTTCTGCATCGGCAGGACCAACGACAGCAGTAATTGCAGCGGCAGCAGCAGCAGCAGCGGCGGCCGCTGAGGAGCAACAGCTAAATGTAGAGACCGCCTGCAGCTCGGCTGCTGCGATGCGACCCACGGGCGCCATACCAAAAATAAAATCCACAAGCAAAGCGGCCAAGGAGTCCAGCACAGCTGCCGCTGCTGGCAGTTCCGAAAAATCAGCAACAGGTGCAGCGCCCAAGAAATCTAGCACAGCAGCAACGGCAACAGCATCGCGCTCGAATAGCTCCTCTGATGCCAGCAACAATACCTTGAATCGCATATCCAAGTCCAGTCTACAGTGGCTGCTGGTCAACAAGTGGCTGCCACTGTGGATTGGCCAGGGACCCGAGTGCAAAGTGAGCCTTAATATACATTGCTATTAACTAAATTTAACTAATCTTTGCCCTTTTCAGCAGGTAATTGACTTTAATTTTATGTTCTCGCGCGATTGCGTCAATTGCGACACCGCTTCGGTGGCCTCGCAAATGTCCAATCCGTATGGCACGCCGCGTCTGGGGCTCGGCACACTGCCGCAGGACATGCTGCGCTATCAGGGCAGCAGTGCCAACATGCGACGCGATGCCACGAATGCAACAGCTCGACCGCTGCACAGCAACCTGAGCCGGTTGCGCTGCGGCGCCGACAAACGTCAGAATCGAACAGCAGAATCGAACAGCAGCTATCGCCATGAGGATCCTTCGTATGAGAACGTGCACGTGCAGTGGCAGAATGGCTTTGAATTTGGACGTTCACGTGAACACGATGGCAATTATAATCAACAGCAGCGACCGCTGCTGCAACGTGCGCGCTCCGAGAGTCCCACGTTTAGCAATCAACAGCGACGTATGCAACGTGCCGCAGCGCAGGCTCAGGCGCAAGCGCAGGCGCAGGCTCAACACTCAGCCAAGCTTCCCGATCCTTTCAAAAGCTACGAACTGAATGTAGATAACAATAGCTTTAAGCCCAAGCAGCCGGTGGCGATGGAGCTGTGTGATGAACTGGAAGGCGCTGTAGGCGGTGCAGCTGCCGAATCGGATGCTGAGCAGGCGTTAGAAAACCTAAATCCGAGTGATAACGAGACTGAAACAACGACAACAACGACATCACCAGCAACAACAACAACAACAACGCCAACAGCAAGCAATGCAAATGCCGCAACGTCTAGCAACAACAACAATGCCAGCACTCAAGATGCAAACGATTAAAAATTTTACTATCTATAAAAAAGTATGTTTAGCTTACAGCTGAAAACTAACGATTTTATTGGAATTATTATGTTTTTTTTTAAAACACATTTCGTTAATTATTTGTCAACTTTTAACATAATTAGATCTCACGAAAAAAATTATAATTGGCATAAACAAAACGAAAATCGAAAAAAAATTAGTTTAAAATTAAGTAAAACAAAAAAAAAAATATGGAAACTACTTGTAGAATTTGATACATTGTGATTCGAGACGATTGCGCATAATCTGCCAAAGCTCGAATATTTAGCATATTTACTAGACTTTTAGCTATATGTATGAAAGTCTCTATGTCTCTCACACACTATCTCTCTGTCTCTTTCACTTGCTCATCAAGTAGCTAAAGCCATGTAAGAGTAGTTACAACGTCTATATACAAACAATGAATTGAAGAGACGCAACATGCAATACAAAAGCGCCATATCATGCTAAAATTATATATACATTATATAAACTAAGGTACATACAGCATACGTATACATAATATATATATATATAGAAATAGAAGCAATACGCATTTTATATTTAATTTTGAAATGTTCCAAAACGAGAAATTGTTGTGTTATTTTTTGATGGCACGGCAAATGAGTCCACTGCCCACACCCCACATCCTTTCCACTCGAATATGAATTATAACCATATGTTTACCTATCAATTGTTTAAGGACATGTTATTTTCCGCCTTGTCCCATATTTGGCATTTGTTAACTGCACGCGCTTTGTTTAAGTTAAGTTTTCAAAGGAAAGAACATAAAATACGAGAGAAGAAAACATTAATAACTATCTTTTAGGTCAATTAGTGTAACAGGTATTATTTACAAGCTTATATACACACATATACAATAAAAGTTATACACTCATACATCAAAATCATATACAATAATGCAGATATATAGATCCTAAGCATACTTACATGTATTGCGTTTAACTAATTCATAATAAAAAATAATAAAAAAAAAATTGAATTGTGTAAATATTGAATAATTGAAAACAATATGGTTTTGTTTTGTTTTTGTTTCTTTTTTTGGTTTTGCTTTTGTGTTTTTATGGTTTTATTTTTATTTTAACAAACTATTATAAAATTGCATGTTTTTCATTCTCATTGCTTCTTGCTGTTGTTTCATATACACAGATACAGATATAATAATAATTATTATAATAAACTAAAAAATACAATATCTGTCATATAGATATATGCATATATATATATATATATATATGTATATATATATATATATTCAATATTTTTCACAACTATTGCGCTTGACTACGACAAATTGGATTTTATTTATTTAATTTTTTTTTTAAATTTTATTTCTTTTTTCGCTACATTTCCGATAATGTTTAAATTTTTTTTAGCCGATATGTTTTCGCTACGTTCACTCTTAAAAAAGCACAAAACACCCAAAGAGCGTCTAATTGCACATTTATATATATATATATAATAATATACGTATATATTGAATTTTTCTTTTAGTATTTTTGTTTAAATTCCGTTTCTAAGTTTTCGTATGTTTTTTAAATTTTTGTTTAGTTTGCAATTTGTCGCTACGTAGTTCTACAAGCTTCATTGGAATTGCTGATAAGTTCTTTAGTATTAGGTATATATATGTATATGTATATATATATATATATATAGTTGTTGCCATTCTTTTTTCATTTATTATTTGTTTCTGTTGTAGTATACTTCGTTTCACCGCCTCGTTTTCAATGCTAAACTTAAAATGTACACACACAAAACTAAGAACTAACTAGACACAAAAAAATACGTTACAAAAAATTAGCTGAGAACTATACAAAAAAATCCCACTCAGATCAAATTATATATATCAAATTTATGCACCAAATCGAACTCAATCTATTTGGGCAACTCGTAGATCTGGACGGGCAACGCTTTTGGCGTTATTATCTCATCCTCAAAGTCTTCGTCATCGCCATGGATGGCATAGTCGCCGCCATTGTGCTCGCTCTCGAATTCATTGGGCACAATCTCCACATCGCTGGGACGTATGGTGCTGCGTGATCCTCCGCCTCCGGCCTCGCCGCCATTTCGATCCGATCTCGTTTTGGTCGATTTGGTAATGTGATCGCGCAGCATATGCGAGTAGAGTATGTCGTCTATATAGTACATGGTGCCCAGGTTATAGACAAACACCTCGCTCTCCGTTATCTGTGCATTGTTCACGCTCGTATAATTGCTGCCCGGATTGCGAGTGATCTTCACGTGACCCCCGCCGATCGTCTCGAATACCTCATTGTCCCGCAAATCCCGATTGTACAGACGTCCGCGCACGAAGTGATTCAGTAGCATTTTAATGCCGCGCTGAGAGGCCTACAAATTGGGTGTTGGTATTAGATTACGGTAAGTATTATTAGTGGATGAAGTGAACTTGCCATAACATCATCGGAGAGTCTGTCGAAGCCTATTTTCTCGAAAGCCTTGTCTTCGGGCACAAAGAACGTATAATTTGCGCCAGAGATGTGGGGCGCTATTTCTGCATTGTTCAGATATCTATAGGTTGAAATGAGCAGTAAAAAAAATTAGTAAAATTATATAATTTAATAAAATATTTAATATTTATACAGGGATATTATATAGTATTATATAGTATAAATAACTAGGATCTGGAATCAAACTGCGGCTTTTGGGCTCGGGTTCAAATACGATCGTATGATTATAATTGTATACTATTTGAATAATGAGAATCCGATTATAAAATACCAAACTACTATCCACACTGCATATACTACAAATATATTCAAGCTCAATTTATATTAAAGATAAGCTTCTCAAAAGTGTATTATGGATTCCCCTTTTATGGCTAGGAAAGGTTGTTAGATTTTGTTTAAAATTGTTCTATGTTCGATAAGCATTTTTACTTCCCTTTAAACTAAAAATCGATATCGATATATCATATACTTGAATACCATTTCTCTGAGCTACACTAAAGCCTATCTCGAAACTCTACCTAACACAGCTCAAAATTATAAAAATTATCCTAACTCACACAACTTTTCTTTACAAATCGATAAATATCGTTAGCCTATCTTCCGTTTCAAAAGATTTTCAACAAGTTTCCATTCATTTCTCGTCTTAAAGTCAATGATTTTCAACACGAAATTCAAGCGCTTCACACTTAAGTTTCTCAGTACCTTCTCCTTTTTGTAATTTATGCGCAGCTCTCCTTTAACTGATTTTAGTTGTAATTGGTATTCATGTTTACCTTGTAATTTGCGTAAATCTCGAATCACGTTCCAAGGCCAAAAACGAGTGCGATAGAAATTGTGCGCCGAACCACGGGAATGCCAACAGCGGCGGTGTCTCCTTATCCTTGTGCATCTGTGGCGAGTTTATTTAGCTTTAGCTCATATATCAAAGCCAGGTGTAAAAGTGTGCGTGTGTGTGTGTGTGTGTGGGCGAGTGCGTGTACGTGTGATTTTGGGTTACCTGATGCAATTTGGAGACCACAGCCTCGGAGACAAATAACACCTCAGATATAATGAACACCTGATTGCCATTGGATAGCGTGTAATCTGACATAATGCTCACATTATTCACAGTGGGCGTGGCTGTGTAGAGGTCAAAGGTTAATCGCAATGTAAATTCACACCGAAAATTCAGTTAGTGGGCAAAATAATTGAAATTCAAGCACTCACGCTGGCCATGGAAGATGACATTCTCGCCGCCCATAGTATGGACGACCATTTGGTCCATGTTCTTGACGTCGGACAAGCGCAGGGGCCGCTGCATGGGCAGGAAATGATTACGCAATACGCTCTCTGTGAACTCGGGCACACTGAATGGATAGAAGCCCCAATCGATGGGATGCCAACGCTGAAAGGCATTGTCCGATGGTATAAGTACCGTATAGGCATTATCGTCCATAATGCGTGTCAGATTGGATTTCGATAGAAAGTGCTGGAACACTTTTGTGCCCGTTTTCATGTTGGCCAAAAATGACATCAATGGACTCGCCTTTGATTCCTTAATAATGGGCTCCACTTTGGCATGTGCATTCGTAATGTTTGGCTGCTCCAGCGGCTGTGGGTCATTGTAGCGGCTGCAATAGAGTGGAGCACGTGGTGGCATGTTAGCAACTGAGCACAAAAGTTGGGGCCACAGAAACTTTTCCTTTTCTTTTTTTTTTTTGCCTGATAAATTTTGCATGAGTGCACTTTTTGACCGCAAACAAACTAGCATTAGGAGCTGCACTCAGCGAAAACTTGCTAATTGGAAATTTTTGGAAAATTGTTGAAATTTTATAAAAAAAAATTTTCGTTTTTAAATTGGATCAAATATGGAAATATTTTATAAAAATTAAATTTTACAAATTAAGTTTTTATTTTTTAATTTAATTTTTGATAATTGAATTCAATAAAAATGTTTTAAAAACATTAGATTATTCATTTAGATTTTTTTTTAAATATTATATAAAAAAAAACATTTTTAATAATTTTTTATTAAATATTAAATAAAATATATAAATAAATTTTGTAAATAAAATAAAAAAATGCTTTGATCTTTTGAAAACTTCACATTCATTGTTTTAAAAATATATATAATTTTCAAATTAATATTAAGTATTAAAAAAAAATTCTTTTAAAAAGTTTCTTTATCACATCATGACAAATTGTTATTCAACTTTTAAGAGCTCACACCCATTTCGCTCAGTGCATAGAGGACATGCTGTTTGCACAGACTTTGGTTGGCTTACTCACTTATTCGTTTCCTGTATGTTGCGCTTGGAATAGGGCGATTTCCTATCGCCCAAATAGCCATCAATTCCAATGGCCATCAATTGCTCATTGATACGCAGCTTGTAGAGTATTTGCTGTCCGTTGAGTAGCCAAACATTGTTGTGGGACTTTTCCAATTTGCGAAAAACGATTTTATGTCCATTGCCATTACCATATGACTCCTCCTCTTCCCTGCCGTTGGCGAGCGTATTATAGCTATCAAAGATTTTCCCTGGCACCAAATGCTCCAGCATGAATTCCTTTAAACGTGGCTTCTCAATGCTTCGCACATCGATTTTCGGTATTATCAATGTAAAGGGTGTATCTGTTAGGAGAGATGGAAAGGTATGAGAACGTGAAGGCAAAGGGTACACTGAACTTGGCTGAGTCTCTATGTGATATTGATATCGATTCAGAAAATGTAGCTTATATAGTTAAATGCCTGCACGTGCGTTTTTTATAGCTATGTGTCAGGGCTACATCAATTTACCTTATCACTATGCAAGACGCAAGATCGTGAGCTTAGCATAATTAGGTAATTGTTGAGGAATGTATGTATATATATTTATATAGTTCTATGAACTCTCAATCTTATTTATTTAAAGATTGATAGCCAAATACGATGACTTATATGATGGGGAATACCTTGAAAAGTAAAAGTAATGAAAAAAATTTAAAAAAAAAAAAACTTTTTAAAAACTAATTATTTAAAAATATATTACAATACTTTAATTTATTTTATAATTATTTATAATATAAATCTTTATTCTTATGCAAATAATTTTAATCAATTATTTTTGGGTGACATATTCAGTTTTAGAAAAAAATATATAAAAAACATTTTAAAAATTATTTATTAAAAAAAGTATTACAATAAATTTTTTAAATTTTACAAAAATTGTTTATACAGCAAATCGCTATTGGCTTTAATCCATTATTGGCTTTGTTGCTTTATATATTCATTATGCTGCTGCCAGGCAGTTGGTGTGTTAACCAAAAGGCTGTTGGTGAACATGGCCCAGATCCAGCCATACAATAGGCCATCCAAGATGTGACTGCGATTCATATTGAATACATCAAAGAAGCTATCATTCCAGACGCAACACAAAACCAGCTTGTGTAGGCAGAAGATTTGTAGCTGCAACAGTTAAGTATTATGAAAAATCGATCGATCGAATTGCAAATGAATCTCATTGACAACGCACCTGCTGCTGCTTGGTGCCATTGTTCTTGAACTTAAGCAGTTCGTGTCCAAACTGTTGTTCCGCTGACTTGATGAATATGGTCTGGTGCACAAAGCACAAGGGATAGATCAGAGCAACGCATATGTTATAGAAGAAGAAGCACAGCCTATGTTTGTCATAAAGAAAAAGATGCAAGCAAATCATGCAGTAGTTTATCTGCAGGCACATGGCCACCCACACAAAGGGACGCAAGAGCACTTCGAAATGATGCCTCAAATGGATCAGCGTCACATAGTGCTTAACCTGCTCCTGGGTAACGATTCTGATGCGATGTTTGCTCTGCTGAATGCACTGCAGCTCCTTCTCGTAGTATGCTTGCAGGAGCAGCAGACCCAAGTGCGCCAGCAGACTCAACAGAAAGGGCTGCAGTGCCACAAACAGCGCAGCCGACCAGCTCAGGTAGGTATCAATGGGAGAGTGTTTTACAACATAGGGTATATGACTGAAGGTGTTTTGTCTTATCACCATGCCGCCGACCATAAACGATTCGAAAACATAAATCCCAAATAGCCACCAGTTGATGCGGGGTGCGTAGCCATATCGCCTACGAAATCGTTGATATATAGCAGCAAAATCGTTTAGAACTCGATCAACGGACTTCAAGCGATATTTATAGATATGCGATAAACCCACGGTTGCAATAATGTTTTGATACTTCGAAATCAGGGCGCTCATGAAGTACATCAAGGCTAGAGCTTTGCCTTGCTCTTCTATATTGCCCGATATGAATATTAGGACGCGCATCAAAAACCATTGCAAGTACAGAAAGCCAGATAAGAATATCCACGGGCGCAGCCAAAGGCAGTGCATCAGTGTGACCAGCCGCTGCAGCCACTCACGCCGCTGGAATGTGCCACTGTGCGGCATATACCTGTAGATGTTGCAGCCGAATATTGAACTCAACGTCGCGAGCACGCGCAATGTAACCGTCAGCACGGACATGGTTCAACTGAATCCTATCGCATGATTCGAGTGCGACGCCACGTGCTGACAGTGACAAATGGCCAACTGGGCAGAAATGATGATGGCTAAATGTTCAGCTCATTTGTTTAATAGACCAGACATCGGAAAATGTGGCCAACACGAGTTCGCAAAAAATCTTTGATAAATTATAGTCAAAAGATGGGAAAAACGGGAACGCAATTTATGGCACGTCGCACTTTGAATGGTCTTATATATACTGCTTTATATAATATAGTTGTAATGACAGAGAATTTTGAACAGCTAGTTGAAGAGCTATATAAATAGCTGACGACATGGATAGCTATATAAAAACAATTAAGCCAGGAGCTTGGAAAAGAAGTATGCCGAGCTTTCAATGCCCACACATAACTGACAGACATATAAAATATAGTTACGAGAATAAATGATGGGATAACCGATTTAGTTCAGTACTTGAATACCCTTCTTGACATTAGGAGCTATGATATAGTTGTATATATAAAGTTAAAAAGTTGCTATTGCTTTGCTTCTCCTAATTCAATCCTAATCCATTTACTAAATATTACATATAATATATCATATTGTAAAGCATAAGTCATATTTGCCTAACTGACTTATATATAACGCTTACAAAACTTTCTGAGAAAAATTAAAAAAAGTTCTCAAATTAAAAAAAAAAATTCTCAAATTTCTGAGAATTTTTTTTTAAATTTTTATTTTTATTTTTTTAATTCTGCTAATATAGATAATAGCTATAATAAGACCTCAATTATAGAATATTTAAAAAAATAAAACGTTTTTTTTTTTGGTGTCTCAACTTATGCACATGCATACGTGTATATAAGACATAATTCTTAAATGTATATATATATATCTATATAATTGATTGATTTGTAGTTGTCTTATGCTACGCCTTATGTAATTACAGAAGACATTATATGCTGTCAATAAGCTGCTCTGTCGAAAGCTCAATTTTCAATAATTTGATATTCAAGAGAAAACGAATTAATGGGAATGAAAAAATATGGCTGACTCATACTTTTGACGAATAAAGGTTCAACAAACGTTTGCAGTTTTATTGACTGCTAAAGTTTCAATTCATGCAGAGTTTATATTTAAAAGAATGAAAAAAATATATATAAAATTTGTGATTAGAACAGATCTTATGACTATATAGTTGTATATCTATATAATTTAAACTTAAGATTTCTTATTAAGTATATTTTATAAAATAATGACCTTATTTTTATAAAAAATATATAATTCTTAAATAATAATTTATATTTTTTTAAATTGTTTTCCTCTCATGATTAAAGAAATAAATAAAAATGTACAATTTATTATTATTATTTTAATATGAATATAAGTAATAAATATATATATTTTTTCGTATTTAAAAATGTATTACTTATTATTATTACTTATTTCTTTTGATTATAAAAAATTATATTATAATTTTTTAATAAATATATTTTCTATATATTTTTATTTATTTAAATTTTTTAATTTTAATTTTTTATAAATAATTGTATATTTTTCTATTTATTTATCTACAGTTTATACCAGTTAAAATTCATATTTATTATATGTAGTTATATAAGCCATGTATAATATATAAAAATTAATAATAATTACGTTTAACATGAATTTCTAGTGTAAATTTGAATATCAAGTGATTCAGATAGTCTTGAACCCTTTTTTCACACTATACTCTTCCTATACAACATAAATTCTTCATATTAAATATTAATGCAGGCTAGTCCTTATAGATGCTTTTTCCCTAAGGGCTTGGCAATTTATGGCGATCGATATATATTATTATTAATATAGTCAATTGCAGTTATAGGTTAATGAATGCTGAAGTAAGTTAATTGTTTATTTCCCGGTTATTTACTCATATGTGTGTTTGCCTAAGTATGTATGTATACCTGAACGTCACTCACCTGTCTTTGTCTTGTAGCCGTAGAGCTCCAAAACAGGAAAGCCATCGTTGATAAACCGGTAAATGTGCTGCCACTTGTCATCTTCCTGATTGGACTGCAGCCCAGCCAAATCGGGCAGCACTTTGCTCTCAATCAGCTTGGCATTCTTCAAACTGCCATCAATTTGACGCTCCGCGATGCTGCTGGCTGTTGTGTCACTACCAGCCGTTGCAGTTGCCGTTGCCGTTGCAGTCGCCGCCGCAGTTAGCTGCAGCAGCAATAAAAATGTTGCTGCCGGCACTTGCAACATTTTGCGTGACATTCAAGTTTTGTGAGTTTGTTTTTCGCTTTTAGGAAAAATTGTTTTTAATTGTTAGCACTTTTCGAGAGATAGTGAGAAAACCTCTTTATATTTTTTGCTTCTCTTGCACTTGTTTTGCTTTGTTGTTCTTTTTTCTTGTTTGTTTTGAGCTTCGTTTTATGGTACCACGATTTTATTCATTTTCGCTTGCAAATCTTTTGCGCAGACACTTTACATAATTGCCAAGAGCTATGCAAAAATAAGTTAGAGAAACATGCTTCTATAAGTATTTTTCTATATTCGCTTAAAAAGTTTTGATTGCGACTCATTAACATTCGAGACGCTAACTCAGAAGTTGAAGTGTTTTGTATGCAAAACATAAGCCTCTAGCTGGACGATATGAACAGAATAGTTTGCGCTGATCACATATATATATATATATATATAAATATATATAGATATTTATGCATATGCATATGTATATATATATACATATATATATATGCATCTATGCAGCTGTGACACAGTTACATTGCAGTTTTGACCAAAATTGGGCAGTTGGCTTACTTGTGTCGACTGGGAAAAAAAAGAAACCTGTCTTTTGAAACCAATTTCGTGACAGTTTTTACAGCAGCAAAAGTCTCCCATATATATACACGTAATTTGTTTTTTCTTGCAAAAATTTAGCTAGAAAATTTGCGGTTAGTTTATTTTTTGCGTATGCTCGCAGCCAAATAGGATAAACAACCATATAATGTGCGACAATTTGTTTATTCGCTGACCTTTGTGCTTAAATCTGATCGCATACAAGGCTGACAGTCAGATACACAAGTTACGGATACATCTACAGCTACAGCTATAGCTACATCTACATCTACACGATAGCTAAATGTGAAGAAAGTAAATTAATTTCAATTGAAGTTGACAAACTAAATGACAAACTACGGCGTAAATAAAACCAAACTGTGACACAAGCACTTGGGCGGCAAACATGGCGCATATATAGAGCTGATGAAAATATGCAAAGCTCAGATATATAAAGGGGAAATTTATCTATATATTCTTTTATTCCTTTTTGTTAAATATTTATAATATTTGAGAACACACTAAGCATTTTAATTTTTTTTATGTATTTTTTATATCTGGCTACTTCACAGATTTTTCACCTTTGGTGTCCATTTGGCGAACCGAACCGAACCAATTCCCGTTTCGTACTGCATGTCTGGGCGCGTTTAGCGCTCAACCGGGAGCCCAAAACGGGCTTAGCGCAGACCCAATTGGAAATGGGATGACACACACAGTCATGAAACCTGTTTGTCTGGCCATGCCATTTAAAGCGCATATATCTGATGCATTAAGTTTTTAGTTTATATGTGTTTTATATTTCTTTTTTAATGCGAAAACAGTTAAGTTTTGTTTACTTTTGGACATTTTCTTCTTGGAATTATACGCATATTTGATTAACGTATAATAAAATAACTGAAGTTTATTATTCTTACTTCCTGGATATATATGTGCATATATATATATAGTTATAAAATTTGATTATGTAAAAGTCTATACATTTTTTAATTTAAAATAATTAAAAGTTTTTTTATAAATATATAAATAAATTTATATTGTCACAAATTATTTTAATTAAACAAATATATATATATATATACATATATAATAAGAAAAAAATATTTTATAATTTTATTAATAATTTTAATAAAGTCTTTTAATTTTTATTTTTAATTTAGTTATTTTTGAATAAAATTTTTAAGTTTTTATTGCAGATATATTTAAATGCTTAAAATTGTTTTTTTAATTATTTTTTAATTTCAATTAAAATTAAAAGTTTTTTTTTCTGGAACTTTTTTTGTTGAATTTTTTTAATATTGGCTTTGATATAAAAATTAGAAATAGAAAATTAATTAAAAATATTAATTTAAATGAATTTCGAATTCTGTATTTTTGACTTTACGTATCTTGCCCTTTTATTTAAGCAAAATGTCTTAGGATTTAAAAAATGCTATGTTCTCAGCTAAATTGATTTTCATATTCTTTCAGTGTAGGTGCACATTTTCCACTGGGCAGTTATCACTTATCACAAACGCTCATTATTCATGATTATGCTTTGGTTTTTATGTGCAAAATTGTGCAACTGACGTCGCGTCTCGTCGTTGTGCCGTACTAGCACTAGCCCTGCCAGCTCCTCTCTCCACCCTACATATAGGTCTCTCTCTTTTTCTCTCACTCTGTTCATCTCTCTCTCGCCCTGTGTCTGTCAATTGCTGTGATTATTCGTCTTCTTATTGTTGATGTTGTTGTTTTTGTTGTTGGTGAACGGGCACTGGAATCGGCGCCGGTGTCCGGTAGTTGGCTGCATTATAAAAGCAAAAGCACTCAGAGAACCCAAACTCGAACTCGTAGATTTCACGAATTAACATTTTCGGCTTCTTTACTGAATGCCGACTAACTGCCTTATAATGAAAGTCTCGTGCAATGCTATTTATTATTATAATTTTTCCGTCTCTCTCTCTCGTTTCGTTTTGATCATGGAACTGAAAGCTGACTTTAATTGATATTATTGTCAGGCGGATATTTTATTTTTAGTTTACTTTCAATGGGCATCAGTGGCCGAACTGCATTTCATATGCATAGTGGGCGTTGATGACTATCTTGATAGAAAGATGAAAACGTTTTATTGTAATTTTTAATGCAAATTATTTACATATATTTTGCCCTGTAAGAAGTTGGGTATTCTAAAATTGTAGAACGTAAGATCTATAAATAGAAGCTGGGTATTCGAAAATTGTGGAAACGTTTAATATCTATTGTTATGAAATGAATCATTTTTGAAGCCGCATCTAATGAAATAGTGTCCTTTTTGTGCCTCTGTCTTTTTGATCTATACATATGCAACTTGGTTTTGATCAATGTTATCTAAGACATACCAATTATCTAATTTAATTTTTAAAACAATTTAATTATTCTATTTAAGCAAAGTTTTATCTGATCAAAAAGGCCGCTAGGGCAACTTTTGATTTGAACCCGGATACTCGTGACTGAATCACATAGAACATCAATTAATTGATATAAATATATTAATATTTATGTGTAGTCATTTATAAATATATTAATTATATATGTACAAAATATATTCATATATATATATATTTGCAGTCCCATTCAACTGAATAGGCTGGAAGATCCTGCTTATATATTTTGTTCTCTTTTCGTTTTCATTGCTTGTATATGCTTAACCTTTTCTATGATTCTAAAAAGCGAAGTCAACTTTAAATTAAAGCAGTTATATACTATAAAAACAGTTAAGCATTCATAACTGCATTACCCAAGGAAAAAAATGTAAGCTCGAATACTGCAGCAAATTGTTGTTAATTGCCTAACAACATTTGCGCGAGCATAAGCGGCGACTATTTAATTATAATTACTTTCGCGCGGAAAGTTAGCGGTATTTGCTTAACTTTCGTTTAGCACGTCAGATGTGCGTGTGAATGAATGTACATGTGTGTGTGTGTGTGCAGCACGTATGATTAAAAAATTCTTGTGAAACAATTTTCATGAGTTTAGCGCTGCAAATGCCGGTAAGCCAAGGAGAGCACGTACGCACACATACACACACACACACAGCCACTCACACATATGTTATTAATGTTGAGCTCAGGGAGTGTGTAGGAAGAGTGCTACGAGCACAGCATTTGCCGTGCTGCAAACGGGCACAAAAAACAGCTCAACAGAGCAAATCATTGTTATATCTTCAAATTGTGTATACGAAAATGGACAACAACTATATACTACTACTATTACTACTACTCTTACTACTACTCTTACTACTACTCTTACTACTACAGCTCTTACTACTACTACTGCTGCTGTTAGAGGGCCGCTACTACAAGCAACAATAACAACAACAAGAGCAGCAGCCGCAGCGGCTTTACTGCTGCTGCTGCGTTTGTGTATCCAGAGTGCAAACCAATTGAAATTAATTTGCATAATATACTATACGACAGTTAGCTGGGAGATTCAGCAATAGAATTATGAGGCGGGCCCAACTGCATATTCTATATAGCGCTGATTCTGTATAATTCACAGTTTATTGCACTTGGCTTTTCTTGCACAATTTTCTCTCGCATTCACATTTCCCTGCCAAATACACACACGCATACACACACTCATACACACACAAACACTCAGAGAACGTTTAGTCAAATGTATTTCATTCAAGTTTTTAGTTTTTGTTCATGCGCCTTTGTGGCACCTACGCTTAATTATATTAATATTGTTGCACATCTTTTTTTAATACATTTTTCTTTACGTTTGTTTTATTTTTCGGCTTGGGTTTTACTACGCAGAGCCTCGCGCGCCTCCGTCAACAAAATGATTGCGTCTGTTGTGCCGGAAAATTTACGACTTATTGAGAAGCTTTAAGCGTTGCTAGACGCAGTCGTCGACGTTGTCATCAACGGGACTCCTTGACCAGGGTTGCCAGGTAATCAAAATCACATGAGCTTTGTTTACAAATAAGGCCTTAATACATTCGATTAGTTTTATCTAAGCATTTTGTTTGTTTTCTAAGAGAAATTCTGTTTCCGAATTGATTTATTTTATTAAATCATCTTATTTATTTCAGTTATAAAATAAGCTTTAAGCTTAAAACGCCGTTAGTCAAGACGCATTGAACGAGATTAGCTTTGCCGGAACGGCCATTCTATTTCAACCAAAGCTTCAGTTTAGTCTGGACAACAACCTGCCAAGTTGCCAGCAGCAAATATAAATTGAAATATTCATACGCACCGTTGTATATGAATTTAGGGATAATAGTATAAGATCATAAAAAAGAAACAAACAAACTTTACGAATTTTATATCAATAAAAATTAATAAAACAATAATGTAAACTTATTAAAAGATGATTAATCATAATAAATTTTAAGGAAATTCACTGAAATCAACCAAAAATATATACAAAAATATAATATAAAATATAAAATAATTATCTTAAACTAAATTTAAAAAAATAAAACTAAAAACATTTAAAAACATTTAAAACTTAATTAAAGAAAAAATATTTAGCTGTAAAAAAGCTGTAAGAAACAAACCAAAAAAATATTATTTATTTAAAAAAAAAAAAGACAAAATTTTTACATATATAAAAAATTAATTTTTATTATTTTATTTACAAAAATAATTATGTAGCTTTTAAGGAAGATTAAAATATAAAGTGCGTAATTCTAACTTGAAAAAAAAGCAAAGTAAATAATTCGTGAAAATAACTAAAATAAAAACCATGAAAAAGAAAAAAAAGCACAATTGAGTAACAATATAAATTAATCGATCAATCAATCTATAAATATTACACACATACTTCACTCATTAAAACACCTTTTATCTGCAACAATGCAATTGCAAAAAATTTATCACGTATACGTCGCAGTGGCAGGAACAGCACAAAATAATTAACACATTAACAATGTGATTTATATATATATATTTGTGATAAATTCTTAAATATATTATATGCTGGCAAGCGACACGTGACAATATAAAACAAACCAACTCAATTTATATGCAATTGGCAAACATTAACACAATAAATAAACAAATATTTAATGTCAAATTAATTGTTATGCCATTAAATGCAGCAACAATAAGCAGAAAGAATAAAGTAATAAAGCAATGAGCAATCGAACTGTGAGCAATGAAATCAATGTCAATAGTGGAGAAATCATGGACATAAAAGTAGTTAAAGAAATGTTCAATAAACCATGACTATTTCAAAATTTATTTACTAGAAATGAACCTTGAATAGATCAATGCTGTCCAGTCATTTCTACTTCACTTTCTTTTTTTTTTCAAATAAAAATCTCAATGGATATTTCTGCCGTGGCTTAAGGGCTTTGACCACTAGCACAGATATACGCAACTTGAATCTAAATAAATATAGTCCAGACTGCTTCATGGTGGCCCATTGAAATGCCAGGCAATCAACAGTGTGCAGGACAACACTCGACCTCTTGCAAATTGCTATAGAGCCAAAAAAAAATAAAAGGAAAAAAAAACTCCAGAGAAGAGAAATAACGAAAAATAGTTAAATGACATGAAAGGCCAATGGCCAAACAAAAGTGCAACGAGGTCGGCGCACATAGCAAACTTTGCGGTTAAAACTAAAGTGGCCTGTTAGGCTTTCAGAAAAGTGTCCAAAAACTTTGAGCATAGAAAGAATGCTGTTCATCTGCATTTGGCCACATTTTTGGTGTGGTCGCACCCCAAACTCTCTCCGTCTCATTTTCGCCTCATATACCTTGAAAGCTCTGGGTATGATGTTTTGGTGAAAGTGTAGCTAACTGGTAGATGAACGTATTTTTGACAATTTTTGATTGGCAAAAGAGGGCGGAATAGAAGTCTGAAGGTTTATTATAGTATGGTTAGTGAATCATATTTACAATAAATATTGATTTTAATAGTTCTAAATTTTGTAAGATTTGAAGACCTCTTTCTGCTTTAGAATCTTTTTCTCTCTACTTTTGTATCTTCATATAAAGATCTACTTGAGAGTATCAGTAGCTTTCTCCTTCTTTCCATATTCTCCACGCATCTCTCTTTAAAAGCTTCACATTTCACTTCACTGTTTAAGTAACTCTCTGTGCCTCTCTCTCTCTCTAGATACAACAGGTATATTGAAACTTCACTTATAGCTCCGCTGTTTTAATAACTCTCTCTCTTTCTCCCTCTCTACTTTCGAACCTTCTTAAGATCGCATTAAGTGTATCTATGCAGCCGCTTACTCCCTGCACTCTCACTTGTTCACTCTCTCTTTCTCTGTCTCTATTTCTATTTTTTGAGGCTTTAATATTTCAACACATTTTGCATTGCAGTTGCATAGTAAACGCTAGAGTTGGCCTCCAGCACAAATGCCTCACGCTCGAAGTGTCTCTTTTTGTGGTAATTTATGCATGTTGTTTGCGTACTGCTGACTTTTTCGGCATTTACTCGTTATAGAATAAATAAAATATGTCACAAAATGCTTTGACATGCTCGTTACATTTTCTACACGTATAAACTACAGTTAAAACAGAATTTTGGAATTTTTGAATTTGTGTTTTGTGTTTATTTAGTTAAAATGATATATTTTCATGGTTTAAGGAATTTACAGATGTCAAACTACATAAGGAAGCTTTTTCATGGTTTTAACAAAAATTTTATTTACAAATTGTCATTAATTGATAATGAGTACTGTTTAGAGTTAGATACATAAATACATAGATGCATATATACATAAATACATAGATGCATATATACATAAATACATAGATGCATGTATACATAAATACGTAGATATATAGATACACACATAGTTTATTACGATTTTTGTTGTCTGAGCTAGGGCATGGGATTAAATCTAGCAAGAGTCTTTGGTATAAGCAGTTGTTCAACTATTTTTTTTTTATTTCAAAACATGTTGGTCGTAATCTCTGTACGAATAAGAGAGAACAAAAAATAGCTCTGATACAGCCTAAGCTCTCAAATTGTCATCACAATTTGCATTGAAAACGGCAAAAGCTTTCTGGCCGACAAGAGAGGCGCACAAAACAGACAAAAGGACGTTGTCGGCCTTGAATTGAGTTTATTTTTATTGCACACAATTCTAGATTTTTGGCTAGAACTCAGTCAGTTGTCAGCTTCTGTGGGGTTGAGCGGCAGCTTATCACAGAATTGGCAGTTAGACTTAATTGAATATTCAAATGCGCCAGTGTGCATATTTAAATGTGACTGGCCTAAAACTGTTTAGCTGGACAAGGCCAGCCCAGAGCCCTCACTTTAAGCAAAATGTTGCGAGTCACTAAAGTGAGTTCGATTAAATTATGGAAAATGTTAAAAAATAATTACTCTAATTAAAAGTGTTGCGGCTTTTTCTGACACTTTTTGTCTGCTGCAAAAAGAGGCTAAATTATGCATGAACATAATTCACATTTGATAATCAATAAGTGAACTGAAGCGCATTAAAATTGAATATAATTAAACATTTTTCACTTTCACAGAGTAGATAGAACATTCATTTTTACTGCTTTAAATTTAAATTTTAGCTAACAATTTATTTTCATAATAAAAATAGTTATTTAATCAAACCTTCAACTCTGTCTCACAAAATGTCATACATATGCTCTTTTATTTATTTATAAAGTTGCACTTATCCTTTGTCAAGCAGCTGTCAGCGAGCACTCCTCGTTGCCCTCACAATTTGCATTTACATTTTTGTGATACTCTTTCGAGGAGTGAAGAGAGTTCATGGGTTTTATGCAATTTGCTATTTGCTATTCACGCTAGAGACTTGAAACATGGTATATATCTTCATCAGTTTTAAAGCTAAAATGGATCAATCTTGCAGGCTTAGGGCAGATCTCTAAAGGATATTTGAAACATTTTACATCTTTCGTATTATGCACGAGCATTAAGCAGTTGATTACGCCTGCCTGCAACGTTCTTACTTATTTCATTTACTCTTGCTGCGTTTTTTATTTTATTTTGGCTTGCCTGAAAGGCTAAATGAAAAGTGTTCAACTGAGATTTACTTAAGAAAATTCTAAGCAACATTTCCCCAGATAGCAGACGGCAGCCAGCAAAAGGCAGAAGCCAAAGACAGTTGCTGCTGCTGCTGCTTGCTCCTTGCGTCCTTGCCAAATGTGCAATCCTTGTTTATTTACATACTTGGCCTGCAACCTTTTGTTGTGCAATTGACTATGTCTATAACAATTGTGTTTTATTTAAACAATGAAGAAGTAAAAAAAAAACTTGGAATAATTTAAAACGCTTCGCTTATGCATAATTCAGACCTTTAAATATTTACAAAATAAATAAACATATGCAGAGCAGCAACAATAAATGCAAGCAGCTTTTGTTCAAATAAAGCATTGTACGAAAATATTGCCCAATCGAGCAATAAATCAAGAAAATATGGAAATGGCATGAAGAACAGATGCTCTGGAACATTTTGGAAAATTTAAGAAAATGATTTTTTTTTTAAATTTACGATCAAATTTTCAATCAAAATATAGTGCATCAGACGCAGCTTTGCAAAGGCGCACTATTGGAAAGGCAGATCGAATCCAGAACTCATCAAGTGTTGAGTTGTTTCTCTTAGAACCCTAAAAAATATCTTTTTATATGGCCTGCTTTTTCAAGTACCACAAATTTAAAGAATTCACTAAGAAGATAACTAAAAAATATTATAGATTTTCAGAGAAATTTGTTCTATTAAGATTTTAAGCAAAGCTTCCATTTTCTAGTCTATAATTAGTTTACTTTAAAATTTCAATTGTTTCCACTATAACCTTTTTGCTTGCAAATAACAAATATGTTTAAAGCAAAGCTTATGTCTCTAATTAAATTTCCACACTAGCCCAAGAGCTAGCCAAAAAATTACAATGAAAGAAACGAGAAGCCACGCCTTTGGCTTAGCTAAAAAAACGTTCTTATATTTCTTTCGTCTTTGCCGTTGTCATCGCAATCGCCATCGCAATCGCCGTCAACAAACGGCATGGACATTAATGCTTAAGCTAAGCGCATTCGCCATTATAATTAAATACGCCAGCGACGTAAGTCTTCGCCAAGAGCCACGCACAAGCACATACACCACCCACGCACACTCAGATTCACTAACACACACTTTGCATAGTGCACAGTGCAAATAATTAGCCTGGCTACGAAATTCTGTGAGTAATTAAGGTAAGTCAGCTGTTGGCCTTTGCCCTCATCCACACAACATTTTTTGCTAACGGAAATTAAAGTTGTAGTTTTTTTTTACAAGCTCGTGAGATTGTTTTTATTCTGCTTTGTTTCATTAAGCAGCTATTACGGGCTTTGTAAAAGAGCTTTAAAGTTGAGTGCTTGAGCAAGTTTTTGATACACTTTAATATTACCATAAATTTATTTAACGATAAGCGGATTTTTATGTTGAGTTTTCAAAAAAAAATATAATAAATAAATTTATAATTTAGATTAATATTTTTGGTAAAGATTTAGCATTTTGAGGAAATAATTGTTTTAGCCATATTTTCGAAAAATTAAAATTTTCCTTTTTCGCTTTTTATTCACATTTTCTTTTTGAATAGAAAAATGATTGGGAAATAAATTTGAAAAATTCAGAGAAAATAGAAGTAAAGTAAAAGTAAGAAGAAGGCATGGCAGACCCTAAAAAATATATATATATATATGTATATGTATTCTTAATCAGGAAGATGGGTTCAGTCGTGCTGTTTGTTTGTCTTTCCATCCGTCTGTTCATCTGTTATGTTTGATGGCGTCATTGTGGAGCCTATAAAAGCTTAAGACTTGAAATTAAGTTTATTTAAAATATTTGATTCCTTCTCTTGCCTCCAGACCTTATATTGCTTGAATTTGATCAAAATTGCATTTTTGTCATTGATGCCATGGATGGCTAATAAAGAGTGACCCAACACGAGTGATACTTGAGTCCTTCCAAAGTGACATTTATACTTGAATCAATGTAAATCATATGTATATGTAGGCAGCTTCCATATAAATTCTTTCTTAGGCTTTTCTCTTATTATTTCCATCTCTTCTTTCTTCTTGACTAATTTTGTCATTTATAAATTTTCAGCTCACCGTATACATTTCATTATGATTGAGTTTGTTATAAATATTATCGCTTGTACTTTCATTCTACTCGCAATGTATATCAGACTTAAAGTTTACTTTTAGCTAGTGTAGTCAGCATTGATTGTTAACAGTTTTGTTATTGTTCCAATTAGATTTCAATGTCATTTTATTGCTTGATTTCGCTTTGAGAGTTTCACAAGTTTTCTTGAAATTCAGGTCAGAAATCGTGCGTAGAACATTTTTAAAGCATGTATTGGATATTTTTCATTTATTGGTCGTAAAAAACGTTTTGATTACACTTAGCAGGTTCGTATATCAATATTAGTGGTAGCTTCAAAGAAATACTAATAATTTTTAGTTATATATTTGGCCAGGAGGAAGAGAACTACGTAACGAAAGTCCAATGTTTTTTCTTTGATAATTTATTGGAATTTTATTAGTTTTTATTTAAAAGTTAGTTGCTATCAGTATTAACTATAGAATGCTACAATCAGCAAAAGTCTTTTCGTATTTCTTTTGTTTTTTTTGTATGATAATTTTCAAGAACACTTAGGAACAGAGAAATTTGCCACTGAAACAGACACACACACAGATTCAGATACAGAAATGCTCGTTGCATTGGCGCTGAGCGTGGGCGTACGTGGCATACGTTGAATCACCGCACCTTGATGCTGTTCACTTCGATCCAGATCATCAGCGCTGCTATAACCACATAGGCGAGCACAATGAGTAACACCTGCAGTGGACTGGCGGTGAACACCATTACCACCAGCATCACGGTGCCCAGTATAAAGACGATGGCCAGAAAGACGATCATCATGATGCTGGAGGCGCTGCGATACCAGGCATTGCGTTTATCCGGCGGTGGCACATATTTCGGTCTCAGTGGACTATATTCCTTTTGATATTGTGTCTCGAAGCCGCTGGAAAAATCGATCTCGTCGTGACCGCTCTGCGGCGCCGTTGCGGTCGCCTTCTTCTCATCCGTGTCCATGCCGCAACGCGTTCGTCTTTTAACTAACAAATTTCGATTCAGCGAGGCGTAGATTGCGTTCCACTGCTGAGTCGCAGTCGCAGTCGCAGTTGTTGTCTGCCTCATTATCACAGCGCAAAGGTGTTAATTGTGGCAACAACAACAGCTACAACAACAGCGCTGACAAATGTGTTCATACACATATTGTATATATTCTCATTTTTTTTTTCTTTCTTTTCGTTCTGTGTATGACTCAGATAAGATAAGACGCTGGGAATCTATTACGATTCGATGTTCGCCGCTCGACGTTCGACGCTCTTTCAAAACTGCAACCTTATCAATTATGACTTCAATATATTTCTGACGCCTCCGCAGTTCCCCCTTCCCACTAACAACAACAAATCTCTAAATGTACTAATTAGGGTTTTTTATTTTTATTTGTAAACAAAATTGTTGCGTTTTGTTACCCAGTTTTGTTGATTTTCTCGCATAGCTCTCACTGTATTCAGCGTATTTGCTTTCATCATGAATGAAATCCGTTTCGTGTATTTTCTTTTTATTTTTTGTTTGGAGGTTTGTCACATGTACAAACCAAATCTTTTGTGACGTCTCCCATAACAGGCCACGCAATGTTGACATATTTAAAATTTAATGGAGCCAAACCATTTGCAGCTGATAAATATTATTGTAATTCTCAGTGCATTTGCACCTTAGCCGATAAGTTTTGATTGGGTAAGCCAATAATTAAAATGATTTCGTTTCAAGGTTTCATATATATATTCTATGTATATATTTCAAGTCTTTACCTAATGGCGCTATACAACAAAAGATTTATGTTATGAAATATATAAAAACACTTGAGTTTCCAAGCTCCCAGTGGACCCATTTGAAAATGTTTTTTAAGATGCGATGCAAGAGTATATATTTCAAATTTCAAATCTCGAGCTCCAATAGTGTCAAACGGCAATAAGCAACCAGACGCGCATTGCTGAAAACAAATATACTCTATATTTCATACCATAAATTGTTATGTCTTCAATCGACAAAATGATCTTCATAACTTCAAACTCATATGAGATCCGTAGCAAACAAAATAAATTAGAGATTAGATTTCATGAATTGGTAGTGAAATATTTATATCAAACTTAGCACGGACTTACAGCTTGCTACAGCAACCCACTTGAGATTGTTGAGTGCCCTAACAACAATTACTCAATTAAAATATCAATGAGCTCTAGATAACATAATTATATTATGCGTGCCAAAGTGATATAATATCTTTCGACTTGAAAGCTTAAAACAGTAAATAAAAATGCAATATATAATATTTTAATAAAAGAAGATCTTATACTATTTATGTCATATATATCATATAAAGGACTTTTTATATTAATAATAATATGAATTTTTTAATTAATTTATATTTAATTTATAATTATATTTTCCAATATACTTTTTAATTCTGTGTAAATGCTTATATGGCAATTGCTTTTGTATATAGTCTATAAGTTTTACGCTTGATTTTTGTATATATGTAAGTCTAAACTAGACTTTAAATGTAACTATAGGGTATCTCCAAGTCAATTTATAATAGCCTCTGCACACACACACTCTGCAACGCTCTCACACACACCCTACTTAGTTTGATAAATGCAGTAAATTTTTGTGTTTGCGCTGAATAAATATTTGCTGTTGATATTACGATTGGCTTTATTTTTATTGCCCGTTGAAAGTATATAACAATATAACTGTGAATGTAAAATATTTTAATCACCGATTACATATGTTGTTTGTTGTTTGGAATTTAAAAAAAAATTTTAGTTAGAGACAAGTTGATTTGCATTTATAATATATGTTTACATGAAAAATAATTATAAGTAAATGTAAAATGCAATTAATACTAATAATAAACATTTTTAATTATATTGGGTATTTTCTTTTAACTTTAGTCATCGACAGGTCACAAATTCCAACTCAAGATAGCTTTAATCAAAGCTGATAAATTTATATTGATTCGTCATTGTTTTTAAAGCTAAATAAGGAACTTAATAATGTTAATGCTTTATATAGGTAGCTCGCTGGCGATAAGGATTTCACTTTGCTGGCTATATACTCTATATAATCTATATATTCTATGTACTCTATATACTCTATATACTCTGTATACTCTGTATACTCTGTATACTCTATATACTCTATATACTCTATATACTCTATATACTCTATATACTCTATATACTCTATATACTCTATATACTCTATATACTCTATTTACTCTATATACTCTATATACTCTATATACTCTATATACTCTATTTACTCTATATACTCTATATACTCTATATATTCTATATACTCTATATACTCTGTATACTCTGTATACTCTAGATACTCTGTATACTTTATGTACTCCATAAATTCTATTTACTCTAGAAACTCCATTTACATAGAAAGAGATAGGCAGACTGACTATAACAAATGAGTTGAAAGCTCTAATAAATATCTATAAAGAGTATATATATATCCTTATGTGCATTACATACTTCGTGTGAAAATGTAAATACCCACATACCCAAAAATACAAGAAAACTTAAAAAAAACGGAATGAAAATAAAAATTAAAAAAAGTATATACAATTGTATGAATATCCCAGCAGCCAGAAGGCAACATCGACAACATAATTTGTATATATTTTGTATATACGATGGAGCGGCGATAAGTTGTTGTGGAGTCAGAAAGAAAAAAAACTGAGAAAAAGATTTCTTGGAACATTATTTGCTGACTTTTGCATAATGTTTGTCGCCTGTAATTCAATTTGAAATTCAGCGCTGTTAAATATATGGCACTTGGTGATGTTGGATCAGTTTGCCAATTGCTTTATACTTGATAACAACGCGCCTGATATTGAGATTTTGTTGCTGCACAATGTGGTAATAATAGTTGAAGTACAAAACAACAAAATTTAAAATTTTATTTTTTTTTTGAAGTGAAAGTCGTGATATGCTGCTGGATAACAGTGCAGAGTGTGAAGAGCAAGTACAGCCAGAGGTAATTATTGATGTTGGCCAATTGGAGGATGCTCAACCGATCTTGCAGCTGTCAGAGGAGTCTGATGCCACAAGATTCTATACATGCAAGACGAATAACTTCCTTAAAGCTCAAAGTTGGACCAACTTGGCCATTATGTTCTGTATTTTTTACAATTGTTTCATTGTTATCATTTTGTTAATATCGTTCATACACTCCAGGCTGGCAAATTAAATATGATTTCCATTACATACAATCAGAATTGCATTTTCAAGTGAGAGTTTGGGACCAGCATTAGGTCAGCACGAGTTGACCAACAAATCGACAGTCCCTAAACGCATTTCAACTTTATCCTCTCAGCGACTACATGGATCCATTGCTGCCAAACAATTTAAGTTGTTACCAAAGTCATCAGCATTCTGGCTGCGGCTACTACTCAGCAAAAACTTGCCCCTGCTGCATTTTTTGCTTCTCTTTTCTCTATATTTTATTCGTATACCCTGTAAGTCGAGTAGTGTGCATAAGGGCTATGTGTAAATGAGTTGATCAACATTATTTTACGTATTAAGTGCTTACAACGAATCAACTGGTTGTTTCTATTGACTATCGATTTAGCTAGTTATCGAAAATTTAATTTTGATTATAATTTTGGTGATGCATGCTTAGACATTAATTTCTGGCTAGAGCAACTACATTGCTGATGATATTATATCTATATATATATTGCAATAATCCATCAGCTACTCGAAATAGATTTTTGGTATTTTACAGAGTATCATCGCGTTGTTCAATCAACTTCAGTGCATTTTTTAAGCTCTTTTCTCAAGTGACAAAACTTCTTGTAGCAACTGCGCATTTTGCATAATGCAGAACGAAAGCCCGTGAGACATGAGCCATACTGCAACGTCTACAGATGCGGAATGATCAAAGCGGCAATTGTTGCTTTTGAAAGCTGCTTAGCAATTAGACACAACTCAAGCATTTGCTGACATTCAATTCAATTCGTTCTCGGTTTCTGTGGGTGCAGCCGCGGGTCGAGGTGGCCAAGGAATATAATATGACCGCAGGAGCTGAGCGTACGGCCTGTGGCCTATGAATTATGAGCGAGAGAGAGAGAAAGCGAGAGCTTTTGGTCTTGCCAGGAAGTTGGCCAGGAGGCTTGTAGCTGCAACTGTGCGCCGTATTTCATTGCGCCCTGTCATAGTGGTTGTGCTCTGCCCCTTTTCGGCCACAATTCAACGAGCACTTTGCTGCCAACTTTCTTTCTGGAATTTTTTTTTTTGTTTTTTCGGTGGGGCCAAAAGTTTTTGGGGCTCGCACTTTTCAATTGTTTTAGGCCCTTATCTAGGTATGAATTTGTTTAGCTGGCTTAAGCTTAAAGCGTTGCAAAACATTAATCTTTAAGCTCCATTTTGAGCACCTCTCATTATTCAAATTTAAGACCCTGCTTAAAGCGAAAAAAATTAAAAAATATATATAAGATGAAACTGTAAAATCAAAATTCATGAGGCACTGCGCGAGAATTATAGCGACTTTCTAGACTATCTTAAGGTGCCCCCCCAGTACCTCAAACTCCAACTCAAGTTTCGCTCGCTCTCTCAGCCGACTGCCCAGAATGCGTTTGTTGTTGCAAACTTTTTCCATCAAAAGTTTCCGTTTTCGATACGCTCGCAGCCTCTTCTACTGCCGGCTGGCTGGCTGGCTGGCTTTCCTGCCAAGTGCCACTTCCGTTTTGCGTCAGCGCACACGGCTGTGGCTCACAAAAGTGTGACTGAAGTGGTTCAGCCTGCACCACCCGACACACAGGTGTTAATTAACTGAAGCCACAACAATCTGCAGCGCGATGCCAGGCACTAAATTTTAAATTGCAATCTGGCCAAATTAATGAGACTTGCATTTGTACGCATCATGTATTGGCCAAAAGCCGTGAGCTGGGATTATATATATTTTATGTTGGCTTTTTTTGTTGGATTTATTTTGGTTGATCTTTTTTATTTTTTCCTTTTTTTTTGAAGCTTTTCAAAGTTGGTGCAAA